AGAAGCATACATCCTGGAGAATGAAGTCAAGTGGGCCTTAGGAAGCATTAACAATAAGGCTAGTGGAGGTGATAGAATTCCAGCTGTACTATTTAAAATCCTAAGAGATGATGCCGTTAAAGTGTTATACTCAATATGCCAGCATATTTGGAAAACACAACTGTAGCCACTGGATTGGTAAAGATCATTTACACCCCAATCCTAAAGAAGAACAATGCCAAAGAATGTTCAAATTACCGAACAATTATATTTATCTCATATGCCAGCAAGATTATGCTTAAGATTCTGCAAGCGAGGCCAAGAATCGCCAGAAGTGCAGGCTGGTTTTTGAAGAGGCAGAGGAACTAGAAACCAGATTGCCTCTGTTCGCTGGATTATGGAGAAAGCACAGGAGTTCCAGAAAAAAAAATCTACTTCTGCTTTATTGACTACACTAAAGCTTTTGACTCTGTAGGTCACAACAAAATGTAGCAAATCCTCAAAGAGATGGGAGTACAAGATCATCTTGGCTCCTGAGGAATCTGTATGCAGGCCAAGAAGCAACAGTTAGAACCAACCATGGAACAACTAGTTGGTTAAGATTGGGAAAGGAGTATGACAGTGCTGTGTATTGTCATCTTACTTAACTCATATGCAGAGTACCTTACTCGAAATGCTAGGCTGGATGAATCGAAAGTCGACAAAAATTGACCTCAGATATACAGATGATAACACTCTGGTGGCAAAAAGTGAAGAGAAATTAAGAAGCCTTTTGATGAAGGTGAAAGAGGAGAGTGTAAAAAATGACTTTGAAGCTTAACATAAAAAAGAAAACCCCCAGATCTTGGCAACTGGCCTATCACTTCCTAGCAAATAGAGAGAAATGGAAGCAGTGTCACATTTTCTGTTCTTAGGTTCAACAATCACTGCATACAATGACTGCAGCAATGAAATTAAAAGACGTTTGCTCTTGGAAGGAAAGCTATGGCAAATCTGGACAGCATACTAAAAAGCAGAGGCATTGCTTTGCCATCAAAGGTCCATAAAGCTATGGTTTTTCTGGTTGTAATGTATGGCTGTGAGAGTTGGACTACAGGAAAGCTGAGAGCTACAGAATCAATGCTTTTGAATTGTGGTACTGGAAAAGATTTTTGAGAGTCCCTTGGACAGCAAGGAAATTAAATCTGTCAATACTTAAATTAATTCAGACTATTCTTTGGAAGGACAAATACTGACACTTAAATACTTTAGCCACATAATGAAAAGACAGGGCTTGTTGGAAAAGATTCTTATGTTGGGAAAGATTGAAGGCAAAAGGAAAAGGGAATAGCAAAGAATAAGATAGATAGTGTCATGGAAACAAGGAGCATGAGCTTGGAACAGACTTAAGGAGATAGTGGAGAATAGAAGGGTCCATCAGATCATGAAGAGTCAGACAAGACTGAACGACTCAACAACAAAAAATTGTCAGACCACATTAGGCATTTTGGGAATATAGCTGTAGTAACGGCAGTAGTGATTTTAAGAAGTAGAAATGTATATGGTTTTTATGTTGTCTGTGCAAATTGGGAAAGGGAAGAAAACAGTAAAACTATTTCAAGTTGAAGAAAGCTTGCAAAGCAAGTCACACAACAGATTTAGGAAAAACATCTCTGTCCTCATTTGGTTAATTAAATCAGTAAGCATTTATCATGGATAAATTCTCCTGGAGGAGCCTTTAAATTGCAAATAAAAGAAGTAAAGAACAAAAATAGAAACTCCTTACACCTCTTCATACAAATATGCCCCCCCTATACACACACACATATGCACATGACTCTAGGAATCCTGAGCAAAATTAGGTGTTCCAAGACATTGACAGTTTATTGAGTCTGTAACCCTAGATTTCTTGCATATTGAAGGAATTCTTGTGTCTGTAGTAGATTTAGGCAAGGCAATCTTCCTTTTTTCTTTTTTCAATTTATTTTTCAATTTTCTTCCATTTTTTCCTTTTTTTATTTCCCTCTCATTTTTTTTCCTTATTATCCTCTGTTCTTAAGCCCTCAAGTACTATTGATACTAGTAGACATTAACCTTACTAGTGACATTCAGGTTTTAAGAAGTTTGCTGACAGCTGTACTTATAGATACTTATAAGTAAGCTCATGTTTTTGCCTTGGTATATAAACATAGATAGATAATCTGTACACCTATGTGACCATTTATTTGGCTATATATACTGTCATCAATGAATTTCTTTACTAACCACTGAGATATATCATTGTAATTTACTAATTAGTTTGAGTTACTGTTATGTGATGTTGGTGGAAGCTAAAAATTCAAGACATATTTAGTATCCATGACATAAACTTTGGAGTAGTTATGAACAGGTAAAAAAAGCTTTGGCATAAATATGTCTATATGTATATGCTATACATCCTAATGTAAAAACCTAGAGATTCAAGGGTTTTTAATAGCGTGTCAGTTTTAGTCATGTCAGTTAAACACAACACCAAACTACATACCTTCTGTCTTTTAAAAATCCAACATTTCTCAGGAGGCCATTCTTTTTTATAGTATGAACATAACATAATGAGAAAAGTCCTGGGATGGAAATAAAGGAGATTGTGGTATTACTTATGGCTTTGCTACAAGCTTCACTATATGTCCTTGGCCTAGTCACAGTTTGTGTTGTTTACTTTTCCTCATATGTAAAATAATAATTGAACCAGATGATTGCTAAGTGAAGATTCCTTCTATGATTCTTTGGTCTGTTTAAAATCTAGAATTTAACCTAGGTTAATTCAGTGGCAAGGTGTAAGGAATTTTTAGAAGAAAAGGAATACCCAACATAGGGAAACAAGTTTAAGTTATAGGATCATTACTCTAACTTTATTAATAAATAGAACAAATCAGGATAGAATTAAGGGCTACTAAAGGATCCTTTACTATCTAGCTAAAAATTGTCCACACTATCAATTAGAGAAGAGGGAAAGGTCCAACAATTTCACAAATAGGATAGCATGGGGCATGTCCAGATACAGGTTAAAAATGGGCAACTTACTGGCAGGATCATTTCTTTTCAGAGGAATGGGGGGAAATACTTTGGAGTACATGACTTGTTGCTTATCTGTTTTAGACAAGTATAGTAGCACTTTCTTCACTGCTGCACTTACTTGTATCAATCAGACTTGACTGAGTGTAAGATTTCCGCTGGATAAAGTAAGCCCAAAAAATCCGCCAAAAAACAAAATGAATATTGGTAGCTCAGCACATGACTATTTGCACCAGGAGGTGGCAGTAGAATACTTTTTTTAAAAAAATTACTAGCTACCTTCATTTTTTAATCGCATAGTTTCTCAGTTTTGTCACTTACCTCTAAGGCAAACCATGATATTCTCGCTATCACTGTGGATGAAAATAAAACCACATGCTCTTGGTTCTGGTCTTTGTATGTTTTAACTTGCTGTGACAGTTTACTCTGATATCTCTTCATGGCATGGAGATAATTCTGGCTTCTCAAAAGTTATGCCAGTGCAATATAGGCTTTGTCAGGTCTTCAAACTTAGTGTTTCTTCAAACCAAATATATCTGTTGTCAGAGGACTAGACTGGCTAAGTTCAGAGAGACTACTCATGAGAAGGACTGACCACCACGTGATTAAGTTTTTTGACTTCTGCAGCTCACAAACCATTTACTTGTGCATCCTGTGCCAGTGAAAGGAGTATTCACACCAATGAAATCAATGTATGTTTTTATAAATCTGTCTTGAAGTCTTTATGTTTTTATATCTCTCATTAACAGCTATGTATTTAATTGGAAATTTTCACTTTTCCCAAATATTGTCAATATCTTATATATCATTACTTGCCTTATTCATTTACTGAATCCACTGTTCATAGTTTTTTTATTTCAACATTTTGTTGAGCAATGTACAAATATTTAATTCCACAACTTTGAAGGTTGATGATTTTTCAAAAGGTTTCATGCTTTTTTTGCCTTGTTTTTCCATGAAACAAAGTAAACTAAGAATTCTTTTATATGAATAAAACAACATTTTAATAAGTCATTTAAACTGACAAATTTAACTTTGTGGATTTAAATGCTAGCCTAATAGAAGTATGAGCACAACAAAGTGACCTACTTAGTCTGGTGACAACAGAAGCTATTGCCCTTGTTTGGCCAGCTGGTCAGGCAATTCTGGTGGAATCAGAGCCACAAACAGCTGTTGATCCAGCCTTTTGGCATAAGGAAAGGTTCTAGGGCAGGTGATGAAAGTCTTAGGTTATGGCAGTAGGTAAAGAGTGCACAAGGTCATAAATCATCATAGTTTTATTAAGTCAGTCAATTTGGGAAGAGTTTTGTATGGTTTTCAAAAATGAGAATATTTACACTACTGAGGTTTCTTCTAATTTTTCACACAGTGTGCTGCTTACATTCTTGCAAATTCCAAAGTTCTTGTAAAAATAATAATTCAAAACAGACTTTTCATCTTATGAAAACATGCTTTATCAAGATCACTTAAAAAACATATATCTTACATGCTTTGGAAATCCTACAGACCACAGAGAAACTTTTACCTAATACACCCTAAAATAACACAATCTGCCAGACCACAGTACATCCGCAATTTAGAATAGCAGATGTTGCTACACATGCTTCTTTTTAAGACTAAGCAGCAGCACAAAAGAAAATAAAACAAAAGTTTAAAATGGGGGGGAAGCATGATGAAGATGAAGGTTTGGAATAGCCAGAAGAGAGATGTAAGCAATTGGTTTCAAAAAGCCAGAAGAAAAAGATGTGGCTGTCAGGGAACTATATGTTTTGTAGATGCCTTTTCAAACACTTACGTGATCTGTCATCCTCATTCCATTGTGTTAGACTTGTTAACTTTCCATGAAAATGGATTTTAATTTAACTAATGAAAAGAATAGTATATGTTTATTTAAAAACTTTGATTTAAAGTTTTGTTCTAAAATGTGCATTAGGGTAGTTTTTCTCTTAATGTTTTTTTAACATCTTTTGTTTTGGTTTTAACTTTAGCTGATCCCACAGTTAAGGACTTAATTGGAGGCTTCACTGCTCTTCATTATGCAGCCATGCATGGTCGAGCCCGGATTGCACGCTTGATGTTAGAATCTGAATACAGAAGTGACATTATCAATGCAAAAAGCAATGATGGTTGGACTCCCCTCCACGTAGCTGCTCACTATGGTAGGGACTCATTTGTCAGACTCCTGCTAGAGTTCAAGGCTGAGGTCGATCCACTGAGTGATAAAGGTACAACACCGCTTCAGCTAGCCATTATCCGAGAGAGGTCAAGCTGTGTGAAAATCCTTCTGGATCACAATGCCAATATCGACATTCAAAATGGTTTCCTGTTACGATATGCTGTGATCAAAAGCAATCACTCATATTGCCGAATGTTCCTTCAGAGAGGGGCAGACACAAACTTGGGTCGCTTAGAAGATGGACAGACACCATTACACTTGTCTGCCCTTAGGGATGATGTGCTTTGTGCCCGAATGTTATATAATTATGGAGCGGACACTAACACAAGGAACTATGAAGGACAGACCCCATTGGCTGTTTCAATAAGTATTTCTGGAAATAGTCGACCCTGTTTGGATTTCTTACAAGAAGTAACAAGTATGTAATATATTTTATTATAATTGTCATTGGTATTATTGCAGTTGTTGTTTTTACTTTTACGTGTTTTTTTTTAAAGAATTTGAAGCATTTACAAACTTCATGTAATATCAGGCATCAGTCATTCACAACAGTCCTGACTGGTAAGTAATGCTTTACTCATTCAAAATAAAAAGGAAGTTACCTTCACATCACATTAAGCATCCTGTGACAAATTAAAGGGGAACGGATGCTGCTACTGGTGTTGGGGGTGGTTGTACAATAGAAAGGGGAAGAGAAGGATGAAGGAGAATCAAGAAAATTACAAAAGGCTCATGTTAGAACAATGGAAAACAATCCCCATTGGTCATAAGGTTTATCTTTTCAGGCTCCACAGATTTGATATTGATTATTAGGATTAACATGAGTCTAGATATAGAATGATGTTGCAGCCTGTGATGTGTAATTAGGATATCTTTTAAATGTTTGTTTTATTTTGTATGTTGTGAACTTGTATTTAAAGGAACAATGATGTTATAAGTTCACATTTGGTTAATTCATGAGTATGTGCATCCTAGCAATTACAGATAAAAAACATTTGTTTTACCATTTGGTTGTTGTAATGTACTATTTACACTGGATTTTTTTTCATTTGTTTTTTAGTTTCTTGAAGCATAATATGCTTACTTTTTGTGGGAATGGAAAAAATAAAATCAGGCCTGAATGATAGCAAAACAATTCATTGAAACATTTGGTTAGTGCAGTGATAAAAATCAATCATACTTATTTGAATCATTAATTCGACAGTCATTGTGGATCACATTTTAACCCCGTGCACTGTTAAATTGAATGTTCCTTGCTGTTGCTCTTTCCTTTATTTTATTTGATATTTTTAAAGTGTAAATATTTTCAATCAGTTTTCATGATTTCTTCAGTTTCACGGTTGCTCCTTTTCTAGCAAAAATTAGGGGTTTTCTTCATAAGTGAATTCATTATTCTAGTCCTTAATCATTTAGATGTATCTTTTTTTCAGAAACGATAAGAGTGTGTGATTCAGAAATAAGACATAAAATCAAATTTAGAATTCAAATCTTGCCTTTACTACTGATTTCAGGCAAGTGGTATCCATCTTGGTTTTCTTCCCTTTCTATAAAAAAAGGTAATTATCATGCTTTGCCAATCATCATTGGATATATTTCATGATATTATGCCACTAGCAAAGAATTGATACTTAGAGGGCGTAGCTATTTTCTGTCTCTCTACAGGAAGATCCATGTGATCTATACCTGTGTTATATATCACATATCACACAGTCTTGTTTTTCTTGATAGGGATGTCTGCTTTGGATCTGCTTTCTCTTGTCTAGCCCCTTTATTACTAACCATGTAGTATAACAGAACTGTCGGGCTTTCAGCTCACATTTATATAGTAATTTAAAATTTACAAACCATCTTCCTCAGCATGTTTGTGAATTAAATAGTGTATTATCCCCATTTTACAGATGAGGAAGCTAACGTGTAGAAAGGTTGTGATTTGCCCAAAGTCACACAGCTATTAAATAGCAAAGCCAATACTTAAACCCAGATCTCCTAATTCTAAGCCCATTGCTCTTTCTGCCACCTCATACCTGTCATACACCCTCCTCCCTCTATGCCTAGGTAGCTTAGATATAGTACTGTTTGTTCCTTGAGTTTTAAAGGTAATTTTTAATGTAGAACTTTATCCCTACTCCCCCCTACCCCTTTCCTAGGGCTCTTAAATGTTGTACTTGATCATTATTATATAAGATGTAATTTCAACATTGTCTACTTAAAATGTTAAGGGTTTGAGATGTTTTGGTCTCATATGTTAACGTTATTGTCATTATCAACAACATTAAATGAAACTGGTTCAGCTACATAGGGAAGAGTATTATGGCCTGTCATTATTTGGATAAAATAATTTGAGCTCAACTAGAATTTGAGGAGGATTGGAATAGTATACTTGCAATGATATAGCTTTTTCTTTCTCCCTGTCTAACCCTGACCATTTCATCTCTAGTGCTATGATTTTTAAAAAGGTATTGAATGAAATTTCAAACCATGCATCTCTCAGCAACTTTCCTAGCAGTCTTCTTTACAGCACTGATAAGGACTTTGGTATTGTCACAGATAAAACTAACCTGATCTAGAAGCTTAGAATTATGCCATACCGTTATCTCCTGTAAATTTTTCATTTTATTCTATTATGGACTCTATTTTTTAGAAAATTTGCTTTTTTTTTCTTCATATGTCACATGTTCTTTATATATAACATTTTTGAGACTCAGTTGAATTAACCTTTGTAAACCAAATCCAAGAGGACACACTGCCATTTATTAATATCCTTCAACTATCTCCCACTTAACAGCTATTTTACTGGTAAAATAAGGAGAATTAGGATAGTGAATTGCTTCTTACTATGTGCACCTAGAAACTTTTTGGCCTGGAGCAAAGGTTCTCAACTGTTTTTGTGTAATGGACCCCTTTGGCAATCTGAAGCCTAAGTATCCCAAGTCAGAATGTTGTGGTTAAAATTCATAATTGAAGAAAATGCCAAATTTCATTTAAAGATTAATGAAAATAAAGATTCTTTTTTTTCACCTAAGTTCATGGGTCCCATACGATCTATCCATGGACCCCTTGAGGGTCTTTGGACCTTCTTAAGAATTCCTGGCCTCAAGTATAAATTTTGGTTAGAAGAAGTAGAAACTTGTTTAAGCATTTTTTAAAAAAGACTTTCAGGAAATAGGTAGCTGAAAATTGTTCGGCTACTACTAAAATACCAGAGCTAATAGAGTCAGTTACACTAGTGTTCTAGAAGAGTATGTCAAAGAGGAGGAAACCTGAAATCATATTTATTCATCAGACTGATGGATGGAGTTTTGGGATGGAATCTGTATTACCAAAGTACTGAGCATAGAGCCTTGTGCAGTATATATATGTTTAGTAAATGAATGAGGAAAATGGGTATCTCAATACAATTTTCAGGAGTGATTTCCCTTTATAAGTTAAAAATATATCATTCCATTTGCCTTAATAAGCTTCAGTACTCTTAAGATTGTTTATTGCCAGAAATAAATGGAATGTTTCTGACCTGGATATTAGTTCAGGCACATCCTTTTAGTCAATAGTTATGTAAAAAGCTAGCTGTTTTTCACTAAATTAAAGTGAAAGAAAATGCTCACTCCTGGAAGTTCAAAGAGTACTAAGAACTGGAAACTGCATTCAGTCATCTGACATGGAAGAGAACTGCAACTTATATCACTTTTAATTATCTAGTTAGATTCTATGACCCTCAACATATTAGGAAAGTAAAATCGCTTCATAATGATTATTATGTAGAAACATGAAATTTATTGGATGGACTAGCTCTAAGGTCTGAATTTTTATTAGATATATATCATTTGATCCTAAGGAAGGAAGAAAAACGCTGTTGCCCTAAGATTCTAAAAACCCTGGGACTTCTTAAAATTAAGTTTTTATTAATGTCTTTTGGTTTTTTTGAATCCCCAAAATTTCCCCCAATAGCCATTCCCCTCGCAGAGAGACATCCTATATGGCAAATGTTTTTAAAGATAAGACATAGAAGGAAAATAAGATGTAGAAGGAAAAAAATTGACAAAATTTATCAAAATTATCAATTTATCAGAAAGTCTGAAAATGTATGCAGCATACCACTCATAGACCCCCCCCCACCTCGGCAAAGGGGTGGAGAATGGTATTTTCTCATATCTCTTCTTTGGAGTTGTGCTTGCTTTTTGTAATTTTTAAAAAATTCACTTTTGATTTTTTTGTGGTTCTTTCTGTTTACATTGTTCTAGTCACTGAATTTTGTTTTTCTTGGCTCTGCTTACTTCACTTCATCAGTTCATGTAGATCTTTCCTGTTTTTCTATATTCATCATATTTGTCATTGCTTATGGCACAATAATATTCCATTACTTTCATAAATTACAGTTTATTTAGCTCTTCTCCAATTGGTGACTTTGCTATCTCAAAAAGTGCTACTGTAAAGATTTTGGAGTGTATGGGAACATTCTTCTTACCTGGGACTTATTTTTCAATAAATGGGTCCCAATTTCCTCAACTGTAAAATAAGGGATTTGGACAAAGGTCTCCTCCTGCTTTATAATTCTGTGACTATGCCTTTAATAATTTAATGTCTGTTAATCACCTCTTGAAAAGCAGTGTGGCATAATGGTATAGAGAGCAAGCCAAGAAGATAGACAACTGGCTTTTTAACCCAGGGAAAATCAGTTAACCTCTCAGTGCTGTAGGCAGTTCCCTAAGATTTTAAGTTGCAGAGGAGATGTTGACCTCTGCTTTGGTAGAAGTTTCCTCAATTGGTAGTTTCTTATTCCATGAAATCCCCAGTCTAGTTTCTTTTCCCTACGAATTTCTTGAAGATAAATATGGAGAGGAAAAGTGTGATTATAGCATATTGAAGTAAAAAAAGTTATAGTGAAATCTCAGTTGTCCAACATCCTGTCTTTGAGATGAGCCTTGTTTTGATGTAGCAAAAATAGTCTTCTTTAACAAAGCACCCTCTTGATTTCATTTTATAAACATGAAAAACATAGGTGTGACCATCCTGGGCAAACTCATGATCCAACAGATTATTGTCTATAGTAACTCCCAGAGATTTTCTGTGGGCGCCAAGATAGGTGTCCTCCTTGACACTGACTTTAAATATCTCATCTTTTCTCTGTAGCTCTTTCTTTATGCCTCTGTCATTCATAAATTGACCAAAAGTAGTGTGATGAATTGGAAAGGATACTGAACTCTTGACTTCAGACCAGGTTTCCAATTTGCCCTTTATATTCCCTCGTATGTGAATTTAGGCAAGTCACTTTACCTCACTAGATCTCAGTTTTCTCATCTGTAAAATGGGGAGGTAAGATTAGATGTTATCTTTCAACTCAAAGATCCTATGACTCCCTTTATATTTCCTGCCATTACCAGTTTCTGGGGGCACTAAGCCCTTGAATTTATGGCCTGCTAT